CCTTATTTTGGGGTCCTTAGAATAGGGATCCTACTATTTGGGGTACTATTATTTGGGTCCCCTGTTTTTGGGAACCCCCACATATACAGTAGATAGCAAAAAACGGCATGGCCGCTGCTTTGTCTGTGTTTTCCTTTTCATAGGACGTTAAGGGTATAAGCTTCCTTGGGCAGGGTCTGTTTTCTGCTTTCATGTTTCTTGAATCCAGCACCCAACAATCTAACCCAAAACAGTAAAGTCGCCACAAAGATTCACAAAGCCTATAAACCCTACACAAGCCCCAAGCAGAGGATTTTGATAGAGCTTTTGGGCCTGGCAGCTCTGGACGCCCGCACCCCCGATGGGAGCTCAGCGATTCACTTGGCTGCCACTGAGGGTCACACGGAATCTTGGACCATCGTCGAGAACTTGTTTACTATAATGGTAATGATATGGTAATGATATCAATGATAAGACTATACGAATATAGTACTAATTAGTTATATTGACAATCATAGTAATCGTAATAATCTTGTGCTGCGGGAGTCCCAGCGACTTCGCAAAACAGGAGCCTTTTTTCTGCTTCCTAACTCCGGGACTCCCAGGAATGCTTATAGAACCCTAAACCCTGCAGGAATGCTTAGAGGCTTTGGCAGCTTCGGGGGGGATCTGAAAGCTCCAAACCCTAAACCCTAAACCGTCCAGGAATGCTTAGAGGCGTTGGCAGCTTCGGGGGCGGATCTGAAAGCAGCCGACTCCAGCGGCTGGACGGCAGCGCACGCTGCAGCGGCAGCCGGCCAGATTCGATCCTTTAAGGTTTTTCAGCGGCTAAAATTTTAGGGTTTAGGGTTTAGGGTTTAGCTAAAACTCTACAAAGCCTTATACAAAACTACAGCCCCGGTTTACGGTTTAGGGTTCCTAAACGATCCTGCAAGGTTTTGAGTGGCCTTGGCCTCGACTTGAGCTGCCAGACCCTGGAGGGCTGGACCCCGGCGCATTGCGCGGCGATGAGTGGAGCATCCGCGTCCATGCAGAAGCTCTGGGATCTGGGGGCCAAGCTGGACGAAGTGGACCTGGAGGGGGAGACGCCTGCACATAAAGCAGCTGCAGCTGGACATGAGGAGTGCTTGCGCGAGCTTCACCAACTCGGTGTTCCGGTCAATGCTCTTGACCAGAATGGCCGCACTCCAGCACACTTTGCCGCTGCGGAGGGGGAGCTTGCCTGCCTGAGATGCCTTCATGAGCTGGGTGTCAGGCTAGACGCAGAAGATGCCATGGGCGAGTCCCCATTGGATAAGGCAGACATAGAAGAGCAAGCGGAATGTGTGCAGTTTCTACAAGATCTTCTGAATCTAGAGCGCGTCCCGAACTGAAACTGCTCGAAAAAACCCGACATGGCACTTGCGCCGGAGCTGTGATGCTATAGAGCCTCAATGCCCAAACCGGAAGATGAGCCCTAGAACCGGCACGCCTTGGGGGCTCCAAGCCCCAAAAGTCGCCAAGCCCTGTACTAGTAGCATTCTGGAATGCAACATAAACCCCTGAACCCTCAACGCCTCTTTGAAGGAGCCCATGAGATTGCTGGTGAGCTCAGGGTTGCATTTCTGACTAATGTAGGGGCTTCAATAATTACCAATATTATTTTGGGGGCTCCTTATTATAATCATCGTATAATGGGCCCCCAAAACCCTATTCTGATTATTAAGGTCCCTAGGGTTCGCAAATTGCTTGGATGAGCCGTCCAGAAATTGGCTAGAAGGATTTGGGCGACATGGGCCCTAAACCCCTAAACTCCTAACCAAACCCTAACTAAACCCGAAACCCTTGCGGCCCTTGCAAAAGACTTGAACTTCATCGGGGGGTTGGCGCCGAAATACATTATGGGTGATGTTGGTGCTTTAGGGGTTGAGTGACCGTTACACCCTGAGAGGCCCCCTAATCTAGGACATTTTCAGGCAGGTGGGTAGTTACCTTTATCGGAGCCTTATAGAAGGTCTATATACCTTATAGAAGCCTTATAGAAGCCCTATATATCCTAAACTCCCCACTTGAAGTTTCCTTTAACCTAAAAGGAACCGGTAAAACAACACCCCTAAAAGGAGCTTTTTAACTCAACCCTAAACATCCCTAAACCCTAAACCCTAAACCGTTCCTGGGAGGCTTGCGCCCAGAAGGCTAACGACACCCTCTTCGTCGAGGAGGGTGGACTTCTGGGAGTACCTGGCCTCATCTGCCGGTGGTTTCTAAATGAATTTATAGGGTTTAGGGTTTAGGGTATAGGGTAGAGATGGGTTTGGGGTATTAGAGGGCTTGCGTGATCTATGTGCGTTTATGGGGTATTCTCAAGGGTCTGGTCTTGGTTTTGATTTTATGTCTATGGGTTTCGCGAAAGGGTTTTGGAGTCGGTTTCCCAAGGATGTGGCAGTGGCGTTTCCTGAAGGGCTTGTATGCCGTTTTTTAAGGATAGATATTGGGTTCCAAGGGCTTTTTTTGATCTTTAAAGCTTTGCGCCATGTTTTCATTGAGAATTAGGAATTAGGGTTTAGGGCTAAAGGCCCCAAGGAGCCAAACCCCAAACCCTTAAGGATTGACGTCGACAGGGCTTAATCTAGGGGGCCGTAGCAGTTCGAATGGTTCTTTTTTTTGGCAGGCTAGCTGCTATAGCGTACTTATGCAGGGACTAATCAATTACTCTGACCCTGATATAAGTCAGGATCGCGGGTTCGTAAGCAGCTATAGCAAGCATGAGAGCCAAACTGTTCCTGCGGGTTGGCGGTTATAATGGTGATAGTAGTTAGTCTTCACAATGAGTATGGTACTTGCTTCCAGTTTTTGAGGAAGCCAGATTTGCGACGAGGGTGGGGGAATGGTTTCAGCTATGGCATGTCAGACGGCTGGCTGTGATGTTCAGGGCCGAGGGTATGGAATTCATGGCCCGAGTTGAACTAGCCATTGCAGAGTCAGTGAGGTTCGGTGATTCGTTGGTGATTTAAGTTTGAGGGTTTGGGAGGCTTGGCTTTCACTTCTTAATAGTCCAAGACCCATGTCTTCAACTTCGGGCCTTGTGTAAGTTAGTCATATTCTGAGATTATGCCATGTTTACTTGTTCATCCGCCTTGGGTGTTTGAGGAAGTGTTCGTGTAGCCAAGCCCAACATGGGACTTTCCGAAAATAGGGGGTCCCTTATTTTGGGGTCCTTATAATAAGGATCCTATTATTCAGGGTATTATATTAGGGTCCCCTAGTTTCGGAAACCCCCACATCGAGGTGGAGCGTGAGGTGGAATTCGAACCTCCGGAGGACTGTCCCACTGTCCCAGCTTCGTGAGTTAATTAGGGTTTCGGGTTTTGGGTTTAGGGTTTAGGGGTAAACCTTTGAGTCGACAACCGAAATTACAGGGTTTCTTTTGGGGTTTAGGGTTTAGACCTACTTACTCTGTAGCAGGGCAAGCGATTTCTCACCTTCTGTAAGCAAATCAGACTCCCTACCTAGTGCCAAAGGATAGCTGTCAGTTCCCCGTGCAAAAAGCTGGACAAGTCAGTCAAATCGTACAGTTAAGAAGTTAAGAATCAGGATCGGTAGTGAGAATCTGCCAGCATAAATGTTCTTAAGTAGCATTGCTTCTGTAGGTGCCCTTAGTATCTTGGCTTCAACATGGTGTCCTCTTGCCCTGGAGCGGTGCAAGTCAGAGTCAAAATCCTCAGCCCGAAGCCCTAAACTAAACCCTAAAACGCTAAACCGGCAAAACGAAAGCCAAAAGCACCTACCCAGCTCTTTTAGCGCCTCAAATCCTCAACGTCCGTCAACCCTCAACCTCAGCCTCAAAATCCCAAAGAAGCCCGGCCGAACTGCCAAAAATCCGGACACAAGACAAAGACCACGCATCACACAGGCAAGTCCTAAATGGACCCTAACCCGCCCAACCCTAGCCTCTATAACTATAAGTGTTAAGCCCTATATGGAGGTTGCATGGACCCCACCCGCGCCTCCCAAAAGAAAATAGGACACGAGCGAGCCTGCCTTGGATTTGGAGTTGGCTCCTTGGTCGCAGTCGAGAATAGAAACACAGAGTCGGAGGTTCGGGTTTTGACGGTTGATGTGTGCACCACGTCCGCCTCCCTCACCACCACTCCCGTGTCACAGCAAGAACGAGTACTACCACTGCCACTCCCACCACCACCACCAGCACCAGCACCACCACAAACGCGACCGCCATCGCCACCACCGCAGCCACCGCAGCCACCGCAGCCACCACCACCACCACCACGAGTGCCACGCGAACGATCATGATGCAGGGTGTTTTAAGGCTCGAGATGTTATGATACCAAGGCTTCGGCTTAGGGTCCAGGGTTCCCGGAGTGCCGCCAGGATGATGTCACTGCCGTGGCTTTGGCACCCTTGGGCGGCGACTTCTTGCAAGGACTGGACGCCTTTGTTTGGACCTTGTCGCCTGAAGGATGGAAATACGAACAATGGCAAAGCAAGTCATGGACATATGCCAATGTGGTTACATGCAATACATCGGAATGCATTGCACATACATAATCATGATTATGTGTATATGCGCCTGTATATATATATATATATATATATATCTGCATACGCATATCCGTATATACATACACACACACATATATATATATATATGTATATACATATATATATATATATGTGGGCGTTTACAAATACATGCGTATATGCATGTGTATCAGCCCGTGTACCTGCATGTGTATGCATGTAAATATTTATATGTATATATGTAAGTATATGTATGCATACACATACACGCATATGTTTGTTTGTTTGTTTGTTTGTTTGTTTGTTTGTTTGTTTGTTTGTTTGCGTGCCCGTCCGTCCGTCGGTCTGTCTGTCTGTTGTCTGTGTACGACTAAATGCTTACCTATATTATTCTGGGGGTTCTTATTATAATTATAGTATAATGGGCTCCAAAACCCTATTCTAATTATTAATGCCCAGAATTACCGTACAGGTATGCCCGTAATTCTGGGCATTGGAAGGGTCCTGCCATGATTTGGGGCCCTGAATAAGTTCATGTACTTTCATCTTGGGCTGACAGTCCCGAACATGATTACAGACACAGTAGTGCCATACAGCCCGAAACCTTATTCTACTGTTGATGATATAAAGCCTGCATTACCTTGAGGACCCGAAACTGTGGGAGAGATGGTATATATATATATATATATATTCCTTATTAACCCTAAACCCTAAACCCTAAACCCTATTATAAACCCTAAACCCCTAAATATTATACTTTGGGTAATGCAGGATTTATATCATCAACCTTACGGTCCAGTACTGACTGACGGCCAGGCTTCCCCGTGACCTTGGGCTGGAAGAAGAGGTGCGCAGCACTCCTCCGATTCGTCATTGCTACCTCCTAGAGACTCCAATATCCCTTGATTAAGGAATATACTTTGAATCATATCAAGGATCCTTCTATAATTTAAGGAATATTCCTTAATTAAGGGATATTGGAGTCTCTGGGCTCCCGCCTTCCATATTGGGTGCTGTTTAGGGGTGGTTTTCCTCAGAAAAAATCGGAATGCCACTATCCCCCAACTCTAACGAGGTCAAAGCTACTGTAAAGCTACATGTCACCATACGTGTTCCTTTAAGGGTTTCCAGGTGCTATAAGTCAGGCGTTCCATAAGGGATCTTTAAGAAGCTGTTGCTTTGATGTGAGACCCAAAAGTGCTGCTATGAAGCATACTTCGATTGCTGACCTTACGAGCTCATTCAAAACACTTGATATCCTACCGCTGGGCTTGTTAACGGTTCTTCAGGAACCGTTAACCTTAAGATTCTCATGTTGGTGTGCCACTTTGGGTTCCTACTATCATTTGTTGAAGTTTTACGTCATGGGGCCTCGAATTACGGCAGTGCAGGTTTTAGAGGCTAGGGTTCGTCATGGTCAGCATTTTCATCCATCGCACCAGTCATCCTAAACTCCAGCTGCCCACCGTCGGCATGATGTTCGTGTGCCCAGCGAGACCGCCGGTTCGAAGTAAACCCACTAAGAGGCCCAAACATAATATAGAAGCCTAACTCATTACCTATAGTGTTTTTTTGTGGGGAGGGGGGTCCTTATTATAATTGTAGTAGTATACACCCCGAAACCCTATTCTAACTATTAAGGCCAAACATACCCTTTTAACTCTAACCCCAGAGCCATGGGGCTGAACAACCATTGGACTCAGAAGCATGATAACCCCGTAAACTCTAATCCCAAAGGGTCCAAGTACTAGCATAGTATATACTTTGGGGGCCCAAATACCTACTAAGTACCTACTATAACGGTACTTGGACCCTTTGGGAATGCCTAAAGCGTTTACAGAACCACAGAACCCTC